AACTGTTTGCAAAGATAAGAGAGAAGATATGATGACTACCAGACTGAAAATTAAAAACATTCTTCAGAATTAGCACCACTGTTAGCTTATTTGCCCCTATAGATATTCCTCTCGTCTACTGAAATAGTTGTTCCGCTTCCTTTTCTCAAAAATACCCCTTGCCTTCACTCCTAGTAAAAATACGGTTTGGATTTTTGCCTCAATCAGTGCTTCCCGAATAGCTATTCTTTTGGATCTCATGTTTGGATTTTTGCCTCAATCAGTGCTTCCGAATAGCTATTCTTTTGGATCTCAAACAAATGCTTGCTGCCTCTCACGTTTGCCTTTTATCTTTAGGTTAACGGCGCCAACATCTCGGGAGTGGGGAGTGATCAGCAAGTCAGGCCCCTGCTTGGCACCTGATCCCCCTCAGGTGAGGATGTGACGGCTACTCAATTCAATTTTTCAAACTGGGGCTTAGGGGATCCAGGGCCACACAGCTGACTCCAAAGCGGATGCACTTGCCAGCAGGCCTTCGGCAAGATAAATAGATGCATGAGGTGCACATGTGCGCACGCTAGCACACCCACACCTGCAGGTGTTTCCTGCTCACGCACGTATCCACATGTGGCCTGAGTACTGTGCTTTGGTGGGAGACTCTGCCCTGCACCCAGTGTACCCACGCACCTTCTCAAAATGGCCACTGCGGATGTAGTAGTCGGCCAGTGAACACCAGAGCTTGCCCAGCTGGTCTGTGAAGCGGGTAAGGCCCCCTCGGATGATGGCGTCCACGTTGAGCGACTGCACCTTGTCCGGGTTCTGGGAGATGAGGTCACAGAGCTCGTGCCACAGCTGCAGGGTCCAGGAAGGAATTTCAGCCTTAGTCCCTGAGCGGGTAAGCCCTCCAACCTGGCCCCTGTCTCCCCATAGGCCCACCTGGTAGTTGGACTTGCCAGCCTTGGAGACGAAGCGCTCATCATTCACCACGGTGGCCAGGCGCTGTGCAGCCTCGTCCAGCCGGTCACTTGACTTGAGGTACTCGATGTATTCCTCTGCGCTCTCAGGGCTCAGCTGAGCACCACACACCATGTCGGCAGTCAGTGGGGCCACAGAGCCACACTGCTGTGCCTACCTTCCCACTCAATGGCTCTGAGCCACCTGTTAGCTACTACCACTGTCCTGGCCACACCTGTCCACACCAGGCTCTAGTGGTCTAGCCTCAGCCCCAGGGTTTGCACCTTGACCTCCACACTGCCTGTGATACATTTCCGAAGCTGTGTCCCCCACGGCTGCAGTTTTACTCTGGTTTTCAATATGGTCAGCTCATGTGAATCTGTCTACCCAGTGAGACTAACAGCTCCCTACAGGCAGGGACTGTCTTAGTCACACTGCCCTAAACTATTTAAAGAATAAACAAATAAACTACAAACAAAAACCTGCCTGTCTCAAGGAGCCTTTTTCTCATTTATATCTGTTAAGTGACATCCTGCATGGGACTAGTGTCGCAGTGAGCCAGTGGGAAACTCTTGACCTGGGGAACTGGCCCATCTGCCTGAGGCGACCCCACCTCACCCCTCCATGGGCTTACCTTGAGGAAGCGCCGGTAGCCCCGCACAGCTGTCTCAGGTAGTGGGTGTGAGCGCAGGAAGCGCAAGTACAGAGGCCAAATACGAGAGTGCTGTGTGATAGGCAGAGCCCGGAGGGCACGGTCGAAAGTGCGGCGTGTGTGAGTGATACGGCCCTGGTCCACCAAGAACTGACAATACTCCAGCCATAGACGTGGCATCTAGAAGCATGAGGAGAGGCAGGGTCTGAGTTGCTGGCACTATGGCATGGCTACAAAAACACCAGATGTCCCATGGCCAAGCCAAAATGCAGCAGGACCCAGAAGGCTATCCCTCCGGGACTAAGTCTAGCTCAACCTCAAGTGCACAAAGGCAATAGGACTCCAACCCTCCTGCTTCATCCACCTCCCGACTCATCCCCTGGCCCAGTCCCCCCACCTCCAACCTTGTGCATGAAAACGAAGGCCCTCTCGTGGCAGTTGTTGACGTCTTCATAGGCAGGATCAGTCACACAGCGATGCTTCACCTGGGCCCTGCGTGCTTTCAGGTAGCGGTACCAGAGTTTGTAGCTGGAGGAGGCAGACATTGGTTGGTCAGCTTCATGGAGCACCAGAATCCTTCACCCTACCCCATAAGGCCACTGCTGGGAGAAGGAACCTGGGAGCAGTGACAAGTATCAGCAATGGGGGGATGGGCTGGGATATGAGGGAGGGTGTGCTGACCCATCGGAGGATATATACTCAGTGACGAAGCATAGCAACCACTTGGGACCTACTGGCCAGCTCTGCTATCACTGGGCAGGTGGGCAGGTGAGGCTGGGGCTGGGGCTGGGGTAGGAAGGGCAGCTGAAGCCGTCCTCACCTGCAGGGCAGCAGCTTCAGCGCTCGCTCGTACAACTGATTGAGCCTGGGCTTCGGGGCCCCCTGCTTGAACTCAATGTAGCGGAGCCAGCATTTGACAGAAAACTGGTTCCGCATAATTTCCTCCTCATAGGGGAGGTCTTCTTCATCCTGCCAGACAGGTAACGGGGAGAAGGAAGAACTGCCCTCAGAACCTCAGCATAGCACCATCTACTCCAAACTCCAGACCCCTACCCAGATCTTGGTGCCCACCCTCAGAGCCAGGTCACCAGATGCCCAAAGAGGACTCTGGTCCAGACTTAGCCTTCAGAATTCTACTGCCCACAACATAACCCAGATCATCAGACTCCTCAGTCACAGGATTCCAGGCCAGATATAGACTGTCACCCAGACTTCACTTTTTTGGTCTTCCAAATCAAGTTACCCACTCCCTGGCCCAGATACCAGACTCCTTAGGCTGTCCTGTCCAACACCAGCCCTCTGCCCTGGACAGTAAACTTCATCTCCTCACAACATGCCTTTTCCTAGCCACCAGATCTTTGGCACTTCTTCAGGCTCCCACCAGCCAGAGTCTAGTTCAGCTGTGCCCCAGAACTTGGAAGCTAGACCTTTACTCAGAAGACAGATATGCACCAGACACAAAGCTTTTAGCCCTAGACACTGAGGAAGAAAGTGAAGAAACAGTGAAATAAATTACACCTTAGGTGACAAAACAAGCCTCAATAACTGAAAAAAGATTGAAATCATACCAAGTGTCTTTTCAGACTACAACTTCATGAAACTAGAAATCAACTACAGGAACATTGGAAAGCACATAAATATGTAAAGACTAAATAGCATGCTACTAAACAATGAATGGATCAAAGAGGAAATCAACAACCTTGAGACAAATCCCTTCAATAAGTGGTGCTGGGAAAACTGGACAGATAAATGCAATAAATTGAAACTGGACCACTTTCTTTTCTTAAATATGTTTTTGTTGATTTTAGAGAGGAAGGGAGAGGAGAAAATAGAAACATCAATGAGAGACAAAAACCCATCCATTGGCTGCCTCCTGCACACCGCCTACTGGGGATCAAGCCTGCAACCCGGACATGTGCCCTGACCAAGAATCGAACCCCAGAGACCTCTTAGTGCATGGGCCACCCTGGCCAGGTGAAACTGGACCACTTTCTCACACCATATACAAAAAATGAAATGAGTCAGAGAAAGAAAAATACTGTATTATGTGTGGAATTTAAAAAAAAAAAGAATAAACAAAACAGAATATAAACCATAAAGAACAAGCTGATGAAAGAAAGAAAGAAAGAAAGAAAGAAAGAAAGTAAATACTGTATTATGTGTGGAATTTAAAAAAAAAATAAACAAAACAGAATATAAACCATAGATATAAAGAACAAGCTGAGAAAGAAAGAAAGAAAGAAAGAACGAACGAACGAACGAACGAACAGGCTGATAGTTGCCAAAGCAGAGAGGTAGGGGGATTGATAAAAAAGAAAGAAAAGAAATATCCCCCAAACAAGAAGAAAAGTAAATAAAGTTGGAGTCACTATAATCAAGCTGCTAAATTACTAAAATCAGGTAGGTTGAGCCATGAGGAAACATTCTATTCTTCTTGTAACTATTCTGGGGACTTGACCTTTTGACCTTTCCTGAGCCACTGCCTGGCTGTACACCTGCTCCCTGAATATCAACACCTGGACACACACCAGGCCCCGCCGCCCCTGTCCGACCCCCTGAAGCCTCACTGTCCAGACCCCTGCCATGCCGGACCTGCCGGCGCCCACACGCTACACGCCCCGGAGCCCACCATCCAGACCATCTGACATCTGACAGGTAACTGTTCTCTGAGCTATCACTCTCGGGCTCTGCTGGGTCCCGCCGGCCATCGCCTGACATGTCCGCACCAGCAGGTCTTTCCTTCCGACTGCAGGGTGCTCCGAAGCCAGACACCACGCCTTTCTCCCAGAAACGGTGCCGCTCAGGACCGTTACCCGGACACCAGAGTCCTGGCCCGGCCACCGGGTTTGGTGCCTTTCCTTCCAACACCAGGCCTCTCAAGAGTCAGCCATTCGAGTTTCTCTCCTCTCCCGCTCCGCGCGCTCCCCTTTCCGCGCCAGGCCCTTCACCTCCACAGCAGTGCTTCACTCAGGCGCCGGGCTCCGGCACCAGACGTCTACTCCCGGCCAGCCCGGTCCGGACTGCACCTCTAGCCCGTGAGCTTCCTCCCGCCCTTGGGCCGACATAGCTTTGGCCCAGATCCCCGGGGGGTCATCCCCGACCGCCTGAAGCATCCAGGCTCTGTCTCCAGTTCCTGCGGACTCACAAAGACAAGGTCCGGCCGCTCCTGCCGCGAAAGTCGCGCCATGACCACCATTTTGCCAGCGCTCCAGCTACAGCCAACAGTCGCGTTGTAATGACGTCTCTATCCGAAGACCCGCCCTCCCCGAGCCAGATCCGTTTCCTATTGGCTGACCACGTTCGGAGCGTGCAGTCGGGTCGCGACTTTCCCTCAGTCTTCTTCAGCGACCGGAAGTAGAGTGAGAGCCGAAGATGATGTCATTAAACGCGAGAGCTCCTCGGCCAATCAACTTCTGCGGTCAAGACCGTGACTTCCGGAGACGCTGCTGTCTCTGGAGGGTTGGCTTTGGACGGGAGCGACTTTGTGGCCTCAGGGGAGCGACATGGGCGTGAAGTTGGAGGTGTTTCGGGTCCGTGG